GTTGCTGTAACTATAGGTCTCACAGGATGATTGGAGCGAAGTGAGAGTGGTCAGTCATCAATGTGCCGTGTTTTCTTACCATTTCGCTCTCTCCAGAATTTTCAGGAAAATGTGGTTTTAATTACTATCTAGAAAGGTTTGTGATGTCTTTTTAATACAATTTTTAATTGTTTTAACAAGGCTATTGGCAGAACACCCATCTAGAGCTAATCCAACAAGAGTTCCAGAAGGGTACGTTACAGGATAAACAGACATGTGTGATAGATGTTGGTCAGAGCAACTTGCACATATGGGCATAAATCTTTGTAACCCTTTTTTAATGAAGGAAAAACCCAGAATTAGGGATGCACGATATTGGGATTTTGGCCGATATCCAATATGCCGATATTTTAAAACTCATGTAGCCGATAACCGATATCGATACCGATGTTAAAGCTGGACAAAAATAAGTAGTCATTGAAAATAGCAGTTTTGTTGTCCATTTCTGACACTTTGAAAAATAATATACTCAAATATATTTTCATATGCTGATATCAAATTGATTTTTAAAAGCGCGGTATCGATCTATTTTACTTTCAAAATCTCATGAAATTTCATTGTTACCAACTCTCGTGATATTTTTCAAATTCTTGTGAGATTTCGTTAGTAAAATAGATCGATACCGCGTCAATATATCAACATATAAAAATATGGCAAAATTTTGTGAATTTTCGGGGGATTTCGTAGCATAACGATGACATATAGCAATATTTTATTAGTAAAAAAGATTGATATGGTGTTTTTAAATGGCAATATATCAGCATATGAAGATATTGTGATATTTTAATGTATCAATATTTTTTTCCCTCGTCTTTAGAAGTTTTTAAGTCTGTAAAAAAGAATTTTTTTTGAAGAAGAAGAAGTAGTATTTTTTTTTTTAGACTTTAGAAACTCCGAATCTGATCAAATAATGGTGGGGTGGCCGATATCCGATATTCAGTTTTAAGGCTGATAAAGGCCGATACCGATAGGGGGCCGATTATATCGTGCATACCTACCCAGAATGGTCACATAAATAACTTCAGTGTGATAAAGGTGATAATAAATAAAAGTGCAATGAAAATGAACATATAAAAGTCAGATATTGCTTCGACATCAGGTGAGGAGCTTAGTTACCTGGGAGGAGCTCGAAGTAGAGTCGTTGCCCCTCCACGTCGAAAGAAGCCACCTGAAGTGGCTCTGGTATCTGTTTCAGATGCCTCCCTCTGGAGGTGTTCCAGGCATGTCCCATTGGGAGGAGGCATCGTGGAAGGCGCAGGACATGCTGGAGGGACTATGTTTCTGAACTGGCCAGGGGGGTTGCCTCAGGGTCCCCCAGAGCAGCTGGAGGAGGTCTGCTAGGATTGGGAAGTCTGGGCATCTTTGCTTAGATTGCTGCCTCTGCGACCCGGCCCCGGATAAACGGAAGAAAATGGATGGATGAATATTGCTTTTTAACCATGCTTCAACAGAATGATTCAAAAAGAAAATAAACTCACAAAACAGGCCTTGACAGAAATGATGGTACTCCTAGAAAAGACTGAAAATGATGTTACCAAAGGTACATTTTAAATCAAAGTGTGTCTGCTATTTAGCATTACAGTAGTCACTGTGCTGTTTGGTGACATGGTGTGTACCAGACTCAATGTGGGCCAGATGAAGTAAAGAAAAGGAAGATTATAGACAAATAGTTAAAGGTAAATGCTATAAGACCATCTCCAGTCAACTGATGTTCATGTGACAACAGTTGCACATATTATTCAGGAATGTAAGATCCATAATACTATAGCCATCCTTCCTGGACATGACGACAAAATCTAAGAGATTGATCATACAGATGGTGACAGACGAGCCCAGAAAAACTTCAGAGTGAACTTCACGCTCAAACAACTACAGTGTCAGATCATACCATCCATCACTGTTTGATCCAAAATAGACTTGATGGGAGATGATCAAAGAGGACAGCATTGTTGAAAATAAATCATAAAAAATTCAGACTTGGATTTGCCAAACTACATCTTGATAAACCCAAAGCTTCTTCAAAAATGTACTGTGAATGTTTGAGACAAAAATGAAACTTTTTGCCAAGGACCATCAGCTCTATGTATGTCACAGGGGGAAATGAAGCATGTTTGGAAAATAACCCTGTCTCTACTGTGAAACATGGAGGAGGCTCTGCTATGTTTTTGGGGCTGCTTAGCTTCAACTTCATTTACATTTCGAGATTATCAAGGGATTCTAAAGAGAAATGTCCTGCTTAGTGTCAGAAGGCTTGGTCACAGTCGAAGGACATGAGTAGATCTGACCTAAATCCTAATGAGGATCTTTGGAAGGAGTTGAAACATGTCCTCTATAAAACGCATCTTTTAAACCTGAGACAACTGGAGCAGTTTGCTCCTGAGGAGGGGGCAAAAATACCTGCTGAAAGGAGATGAAATCTCGCAGACAGCTACAGAAGGGTTTGTTTGCAGTGATTGCCTCCAAGGGAGGTGTTAAATAATTTCTGGTCAGGCCGGTTTAATGAGTTTGTTTTTACAAAAAATTTATCTGTTGAAGCATGGTTGAAAAGCAATGTCTGGCTTTGATTTGTCAAAATTTTTTATATAATTTTTAGATACTATAACTTTTTTTTGACCCGATTCTTCTCAAGACCATTGTGGGTTTTTCATTCATTAAACGAAACTATGCCAATGACGTCATCTGACATTGATATTCCATGAGCTTGAAGTTCACCTTTAATTTTTTTAGACGTTTTTCTGGGCTCTTTTGATACTATTCCTATTATCTGTCTCTTTGATTTGTCATTATTATGGTTAGAATTTGTTATTTTAATTGTTTTATTTGTATTACTTTTGCAGATGTATGTTATTTCTCTAACTATTTTGGATTTTTGTTTCATTAAATGAGGAATACTAACAATTTTGTGTATGTCTATGTATGCATTTCTATATCCTGCTATGCAGTGTTAATTCAGTCGACGAGGACGATGACGAAAAAATTTGGAAAAAATAGAGAAAAATAGAATCAGTGTGTGGAGAAGTTCTATTATTTAAAGTGTTGACTAAATATGACTAAGACTAAAATTGATTTTTGTCATTTTGACTAAGACTAAATTAAAGAAAGCTGACGAAATTAACCATACTGCTATGTGTTGTTTGGTATTGATTTCATCACTGTTCAAATGATGATTTCTGTGTGTTTTTCAGTGGTCTGGAGTATTTTGTAGCTCGTTCTATTGTGAAATGCTCTCGGGCTGACAGAAAAGATGATGATTTGCCTTAACGGCTCCAATGTTGTCGCTTATCTTTCTTTTTCAGAGGGTTGGCTCTTATCTTAACCTTGACAGATGTCACAAAACGTACCTCAGGATTTTGACGCTCTGTGCTCTTACTGTAAAACACAGGAGAAAGTGTGTGTGCTTTTGTAGATCTCTGAGCTCCTGTTTTGGCACCACAGTGGACCATTTTTCCAAATTCACCATCAAATCTAGGATCATTTGTATCAAAGTTTTTTTTTTTTTTTTTTTTTAAAGGTTAAAATTAGGGATTAGGTCCCAATTACGTTTAGATTATGGTAAGGGATACTTCTATTGGTGGGTTTTATTGGTGATGTCAGGATTAAGGCATAGCACTGGTTAAAAATGACTGAGAATCAATAAAAGTCAAATGAAATAAACATGTGGTAAACAGCACATTTAGCTAGACATTATCTATATCTATTTAGAGCCTTTTCTAGAATGTTTTGTAACCTTATGAAGATCAGCAGGTTTTACGTACACTAAATTTTTTATTTTGCTGCTCGACGCACCACATCAACCAATCAGAGAAGCTGATCTGGGAGCTGGCAGGGAGACAGACACAGCGCAGCTCATACAGTTTTGTGACCTCCACCAGAAACACATTTTTAATGCCTAAATTAACTTAAAATGTCAACACCTGCCGGCAAAAGCTGTTCGCTTTTATAATCCTGGTTTCTGCAGTTTGTACCACATACCTAAAAACATAAGACATGTCATGGGACTGAGTAGGAATCATAATTTGTACCCCATTCCAAGTACACTGTAACTGTTGGAGCATAAAGCCTAACTAATAGCCAAATAAAGCTGAATCTAATTGTCAAGTATGTTTACTACCTGTTGAGATACAAGAGCAAAATTAGCATTTTCCATTTTTTCTTAAATATAAGAATGTCATTCCTCCATGTTTCTTAATGGCTGTGGTTCAAGAACAGCTAGCATCAGGGCTTATCAGCATCCTTTGTCTTTTCGTTTTTATCAGTCTCATCAGGGAAATTCCACAAAACGTAGCTTTTGCTTATTCAGCTAAAAGGGATTACAAAGGCGCTTGTCTTAAGATACTTATGCTGCTATATGAACAGCACCAACAAAACCGTAGCTCAGTGCTGTTTCTGATTTTACTCTACCCCTTTGTAAGATGGACAAAAGGGAGTGTCTGTGTCTTCAGTGCTGCAGTTTGAAGTTTAGTATATATATATATATATATATATATATATATAAGTTCTTATATGTTCTTATCCCTTTCATCTAATCTAAGAATGTAGTTTTTGTTTTGTTTTAATGGCAGTAGTGGTTCATATTTTCGACAGTAGGCAGACAGAAACAGGGGTATGAGAGAGGGGGAGAGAGAGACATGCGGGAAAGGGAAAAGAGCACAGGCCTGATTCGAACCCGGGTCGCCCGCGTCAAGGACCAGGGCCACCGTACATGGCTCGTGCACGCTAACCAGTGCACGTCCTAAGAATGTAGTTTTTGATAATTGTTTAGTATTTTTGTTCTCCTACAAACTTCTTTCGTGTACTGTTTTTGAGAACTGTACAGCAATTGTCTTCTGTTGGAAACTCTTTCCATGCTACAGAATTTCACCTCTGTGACCTCGATTCTACTTTCATATATACATTTTGGGTTCCAGGTATAAATTTGCAATGCAGCCAACCTTAATGTGTTTTCTATGTGTGGCCCTTAGGTGGAACGGATCGTGGACAAGAGGCGAAACAAGAAGGGTAAGTGGGAGTACCTGATCAGATGGAAAGGTTATGGAAGTAAGGAGGACACCTGGGAACCAGAGCATCACCTGCTTCACTGTGAGGAATTCATCGACCAGTTTAACAGCTCGAGACGGCATTTGCACAAAAGACCAAAGGTCGACAAACGTCCTGGTGAGAGCCTCACGGCCAGTCAGCATACAGTGGCAGAAAGTTCCAAGGCACGGTCAGAGGCCCGAAAGAAGAAAAGGACTAGTGTTCCAGCTGTTGGCATGGGAATTGGATCAGTTTTAGGAATTGGAGGTGGAGTTTCAGGGCCCACTCAAAAACAGAAGAAAGTAGTTACTGGAGCTGGAAAACATCCTTTAGGAGAGAGAATGAGTAAAGCCATGACATTCAAGGCTCATCCATCAAGTGGGTCTCACTGTTTTACCTCGATGAGGGTTCCTCATAATGGACTTCAAAATGGAGAGATGGAGCCTCTTATTTATGACACAGCAGCAAGGTCACATCGACTGCCCTCCGATAAAGTGGATACAGATCTAAGAGAAAAAGATGCCGCTGGACCACCGCTCACTACTCACCTAGGTAAGATGTTAATGGAGCTAATGATCTGGTAAGCACAGTTTATATAAGATTGAAGGTGTATGACAGCTACCACAATAGTTTAAAAGCAATCAGAAAACAACACTTATGGTATTTTTTGTTTTTTACATTGAACACCAGGTCAGTAGTCGGGGGCCAGTGTCGTTCATGTTTCCGAGGTTTCTTTAGTTCACCACAACTCAGTAAAACTGATCTCATTTTCAGGGTTTCTTAGAGCCTGATGGTCTACTGTATCATGTGAATGAGATTTGTTAAAGCAGGGAAATATTTAAAACAAGCAGAAAATCCAGCTGATGAGTGGAGTTGGAAACCACTAATGTAAAGCTATTGCTCTATTATAGATTGCTTGATTTTCTACATCAATTCCCTTTCACTCTTGTGTTAAATAAGTAATTTTTACTCCTTATGGTCCTGTATTAAATCACTTAACATAAACTTATTAAATTGAAAAAAAAACAGACAAACTGAAACTACTTTTACTACAATTTGCAGTTTATATCTGCACTTTAAATGGTATGGTTTTTTTTCTTCTTGATAATTAATTAATTGATGCTTTTAGTAGGTTTATCCAATTCTAAGCTAAGTAAATGAATACCCCTAATGAAATTCAGTAAAATAACTTTGTTAAAGTTTTGTTTTTTGTTTTTTTGCATGGACTAAGATGGAAAACAACTAGATAATTAATTTTTTAAAGTCAAAACTAGAAATCTGTTTAAGATAAATTCATTAAAAACCACTCCACAACAGCAAATTAGACCTACCTAAGAATGTAGCTGAGTCGTTTTTTGTTAATGAAATTTTGTTTTTGCTGTGTCACATTTCGAGTTGTTTGTGTGGATCCTGATGTGCTGAAAACAGATTAGCATAATAATTTGACAGATACCTCACTTCACCAATTACATTCAGAGAAGTTATAAGGCATTTGTAGGTTGCAAAAGAAGCTAATGCAATGATGAGACCAAACAGCTTTCAAATGCCATTTCCCCATCTTTGAGTATGTTGTATACTCCCTGAGATACATGAAAAAAACATGTAGGAAAGTAAATTTTATCAGATTGATTGTGTGTGCTTGTGTGTGTATTAAAAGCACTCACAGTAACTCTGGGGGAGCTGAAGGTATAATCAACTTACGTAGGCTACTACACAGTTTACATTTCTGGCCTGTAGGGAATAGTGCCAAGTTGAAAGCCAATGGTAAAAGAAAACCACAAAGAGTCATAATTCTAGTTTTTCACACTGTATTACACACAGGAGACAAGTGAAACACTTGAAACACTCCCTTTTTTGATCAGTTTTTCTATTACATACAGTCAGTCAATATACTTCATGATAGCGTGCAGTGCTCGATATTTCAGCAGGTACACATTTCTAATGCAGGGAGCTGTGGTTTTACACACTGTGGCTTGTTTAAGCTCCAATTGTGAGTTGATAACACCTTATGAATTTCACTCTTGGGTCACAGTCCAGTGTCTGAACCATGATGGTTAATCATTAGTTCTGTGCTGAGTCCTTTTCATTTATCAGAAATGCATATCAAAAGGGACATTTAATGAAGGTGCCAATGGTAGAGTAGTTTCTAAGTTTCAGTTGAACTGTTGTCTCTTCAGTTTCTTAGTTCTGTATTTGGGAATTTCAGCCAAAATGGTTAAATTACTTGTAACTTTCCAATTTATATTTTTTGTTCTGTTTTTTGTTTTGTTTTGTTTTTCTGGGCCATCTTTGATTACAGTGTGTATACTTGGAAAAATACTTTGTGGCAGCAGTTTATTCTTTAACATCTTGTTTATCACAAATTTTATGTGTTTTAGAGACGTTCATTATGTTTAAATTAATCACTGATTTGCGCATTTCGAATAAACATACTGATATGCCTTAATGCTGTGATACCCTGGCCTCAGCCCGGTACCTGTCCATTTGTCATTTGGCACCTGGTTAAGGAAAAATGAATGAATAACTCACATTATTTCTGACGTATTTCATTTTTGACTCTATATGTTTTTTTATTTTGAAAAATCCCTGGATTCTTTCTGTTATTTCAGTCTTTGACTTACTCTTGACGTACTTTGGCCACAACATTGTCGTCAAATGATCCTTCGGCTGTAAAACTCCCACCATCTCGTTGCAGTAAAACAAGCTCCGTGCTCCCACCAACTCACTACTGATGCGCTAGGCTGTTTTTATTCACTTTGTTTTTTTGGTGGCTTATTTTAAATGCATGATTATCATTACCATAGCACCTGAGAGTCCTATAGTTAACCATCGGTCCATGAAAATTTTGTCTGACATTGAACCTGTCTGTGGCGCAAATAAAGTTGGGGCCACTACCTTATTGTTGGGTTGGATCTGTATATTGGAGTATAACAATATTTTCCACTAGATATTTTCACTAAATTCTAGCTTTGATTATGACATTCAATAGCTCCATTTAAAGGTAATAGTTAGTATTTTTTCATCTAAACAATAACTTTTTCAAAATAATAAACCAACAGAATTTCTAGAGTGGTGTTGAATAAATGTTATTTTACTGAAAAATTATATAGTGTACAAATGACCTTTTTATACATTTGGATGGATCCAGAGTACTTAATTATTTACCTCTAAATACAATTCTCATATCAACGCAAAGGATTGTGCACAAATAGGACTTATAGGTTGAAGTCACGTGACATGCAGTTCAGGTGTTGCTAGATACAAATAGCTCTGTGAGTATAAGCCACTTTATGAGAGACAACTTGCATTAAAAAGAACTGTAAGAACATGGTCACAGGAAGCTGAAGAAGCCCTGCAAGGTTATTTTGAGACTACAGTCTGGGATGCACTGTGTCAGCCACATAGAGGGGACATCAATGCAATGGCTGAGTGAGTGACTGACTTCATAAATTTCTGTGTAGAAAACACCATCGCTATCAGAACAGTGAAATGCTTCCCAAATAATAAACCAAGGATCACAAATGATCTGAAGCAACATCTTAACAGGAAAAAAAACAAGCCTTTAAGAAGGGAGACAGGGAATTAATGAGGAGTTTAAAGAAGCAACTTAAGATCAAGGTAAAGGAAAGCAGGGAGGCATACAGGAAAAGACAAGACCCAGCTAAACAATATCAGAGATGTGGGGTCAGGGATAAAGATCACAGGTTTCAAGCAGAAGGAGGTTCAGACATATGGAAGTCTGGACAAAGTTCATGAACTGAATTCATTCTTCAACAGTGTCAGTGCAGGAACAACCTTAGCATCACTCTCTCTTGCCCACAGTCACATGGACATGCTGCCCTCCTCTGCCATTGAGTCTTCTGTTTCTATATCAAAAGATGGTGCTGCTCCCGCTGCCTTTCACCTGCCTGTCTTTAGAAATCAAGTGAAGGGGAAACTGGAGAGTCTGAATCGCAATAAGTCACCAGGTCCTGATGATGTTATCCCAGAGTCCTGAGGGCCTGTGCAGAGCAGCTCTGTGGGATTCTACAACACCTCTTTAACCTTAGCCTGACCCAGGAGACAGTTCCAGTCATGCCGAAGACCTCCTGCCTTGTTCTGGTACCAAAGAAAACTCAGCCAACAGATCTCAGTGACTGTAAACCTGTTGCTCTGACATTCCACATCATAAAGGTTCTAGAGAAACTCCTCTTAGTTCACCTCGGCTAGCAAAAAAGCTGCTATTAGGACCCCGTGCAGTTTCCTTAGTCCCGTGAAGTTGGAGTTGAAAATGCCATCATACACATGCTTCAAAAAACCCAATTTCATTTAGACAAGGCAGACAGCACTGTGTAAATCATGTTCTTTGATTTCTCCTGTGCATTTAGCAACATTCTGCCTGACTTACTTAAGAAACTCCAGAAGACTCAAGTGGAGGCATCAACAATCGCCTGAATGAAAGACTACCTAACAAAAAGACCACAGTTTGTTAGACTGAAGGGTCAGCTGTCCAATCAAGTAGTCAGCAGCTCAGGAGCACCACTGGGGACCGAACTCTCAGCATTCCATTTTACTCTGTACACCTCTGACTTCCAATACCAGACAGAGTCCTGTCATCTGCAGAAATACTCAGATGATGCTGCAGTAATTTGGTGCATCAAAGATATTAAAGAAGCTGAGAGCTGGTGAACTGCTTTTTGGCATGGTGTGTAAATAATCATCTGATCCTGAATGTCAACAACACAAGGGAGACAATTATAGATTTCAGAGTAAACACAAAAAAGTTGAATCATGTTTACATCATGGGAGTGGAGATAGTGGACGAATATGAATACTTTGATGTTCACCTGGACAACAAACTAGACTTTAGCCACAACTGTGAAGCTATCTATAAGAAAGAAAAAAATAGATATGACTCCCTAAGGAAGCTTTGGTCCTTTGCTACATATCTTCTATCAGTCTGTTGTAGAGGGTGTGATCTCTTCTGCCATCATCTGCTGGGGTAATGACACCAAAGTGTCTTCAGTAAGAGGCTTCTCCAGATGCGATGCAAGACAGACCGCTACAGAAGATTGTTTTTGCCTACAGCTATCAACACCTACAGAAACTTGATTAAAAAAAAAAATTTATTTTGTCAACATTTAATTTTCCTTTGGGATTGATAAAGTATATTTGAACTGATTTGAAATCCAAACAAAGCAATGAAACACTCATTGGATTTCTTTGCAATAGGGGCCAAGGGGCCTCTTTGAATACTTGGTGTTTATTTAGGTCAAGGTACTGTCTACTTCCATGTTCTATCACAGTACTTCATATCATCAATGAATGGACCCTAACCCAAAAGATGCAATGTAATCATAAACATCTCTGACCATAGAAAATTTAGAAATGCAAAACAGAAAATTTGAGAAAGCAGATATAGAGTAATATAAACATAAAAACATAAATGGGACTGTTGAGGAAAAATCATGTATTGCCTGGACCACGACCTGGGCCCTGTTTTGCGTCTGTTTGACGCTCCTTTTTTTTCATGACGATAACTAAAACTGATAAACTAAACAAGGATCTTTGATGCCTAAAAGATTATAACTCATGGGTGTGTCAACAAGACTTGACATGACTAAATCAATATAAGCGGGTGGTCGGTCAGACGTTTAACATGCATCTTTGTGCTTTAATCTGTCAGACAGGATAAGCAGTATCAGCCGTGCTGCTGCATCCTGTTTGTTCATGTCGCCCCCCTGGCGTGAAGCACTGCACATTCTGAATGATCACGGATAGATCATAGCAGCAGTGGCAGGGGTGAAAACAAACTCTACTCTTCCAGCTGTGCTTGGCAAGAAATGCGTCTTTGCGCGTGCGTAGCTCAGAGTCTGCGCTTTACACTCCACCCTGATGGTTCGCTCTCAGCAGTATGGCTCTTCCTGCTCTCAATACTTAAAGCTACAGTGTGTAATAATTACAGGGATATACAGTCAGAAATGTAATATATTATACATAACTATGTTATTTATCATCATCTACGAGCTCAGCCTCTTAACTTTAATATTTGCATTGCCTTAGAATTCGTTATTTATAATTACATAGGAGCGGGTCTCGCAGCCATGGAGGCAGACATCTTTGCGCTACGGCAGCGCAGAGCCAACAAACTAGCGATTGAGAGATCGCCAAAACGTCACAACGATGTAGAAAAAATAACGGGTATATTTATTATCTTAACTCTACATGAAATCTATACCCTACACAGACTAATGAAATACTATCTGTAAAATTATCTAGGTAAACAAACCTCATCACTTGAGAAGGTAGGTGATGCGGACGTCGTGGAAGACATTTTGTCCCGTAACGCTCGCCGTACTGTTGGGGGGGAGAAGCGGTGGGGGGAGATGTTCATGTTGCTGCAGTCTGCAGTCTGACCGCTAGATGTCGCTAAAAGTTACACACTGTAGCTTTAATAAACTATATGGGGCAGATCATACTCTGACAAGTGTAAAAAATCCCTGAAAAAAACCGCCAGCTCGCAAGAGGAAATGCCAAACCTTCTTTCATTCTACCAAAAGGAATCCTTGAATTATATCTAAAGACAATATTTCGTTGCATTCTGTTTATTTTTGGATAAAGATCCAGACGAAAAGGTACATAGATCTTTGAATATTTCTCTCTCGTAGTTCTTGTTTCTATCTATTTGAATATTTCAACATTTTATTTAACATATTGAAATTTAGGTCCGGCTTGCCATGTCTTTATAAGGTAAATATGTCGGTTCACTCTTTATTTTAAACCTACTTCTACCCCTGAGCAGCAGTAACCAGGGGCAAAGTCTTGGAAATAAAGCCAAAATTACCAAAGTAGAAAGAAGAGTGTTTTTGGTTCTTTGCTTTTTTGGAGTAATAAAGATTTTATTGGGCTGTGTTTAATGCATAATTCATAGTAGATCAGGAAGTATTTTTGCTTTTGGATGGAAACCTTGTATGTTTAAAACCATTCCTTTATTGTACATTTTGTTATTGTCCATCTGCTATACAGGTGCTGGTCATAAAATTAGAATATCATGAAAAAGTAGATTGATTTCAGTAATTCCATTTAAAAAGTGAAACTTGTATATTATATTCATACATTACATACAAACTCATATATTTCAGATGTTTATTTTGTTTAATTTTGATGATTACAAATGACAACAAATGAAAATCTCAAATTCATCATATCAGAAAATTAGAATATTACTGAAGACCAATAAAAACAAAGGATTTATAGAAATGTTGGCCAACTGAAAAGTATGAACATGAAAAGTATGAGCATGTACAGGTGCTGGTCATAAAATTAGAATATCATGAAAAAGTAGATTGATTTCAGTAATTCCATTTAAAAAGTGAAACTTGTATATTATATTCATACATTACATACAAACTCATATATTTCAGATGTTTATTTTGTTTAATTTTGATGATTACAAATGACAACAAATGAAAATCTCAAATTCATCATATCAGAAAATTAGAATATTACTGAAGACCAATAAAAACAAAGGATTTATAGAAATGTTGGCCAACTGAAAAGTATGAACATGAAAAGTATGAGCATGTACAGCACTCAGTATTTAGTTGGGCCTCCTTTGGCCTGTATTACTGCAGCAATGCGGCGTGGCATGGAGTCGATCAGTCTGTGGCACTGCTCAGGTGTTATGATAGCCCAGGTTGCTCTAATAGTGGCTTTTAGCTCTTCTGAATTGTTGGGTCTGGTGTATTGCATCTTCTTCTTCACAATACCCCATAGATTTTCTATGGGGTTAAGGTCAGGAGAGTTTGCTGGCCAATTAAGAACAGGGATACCATGGTCCTTCAACCAGGTACTGGTAGCTTTGGCACTGTGTGCAGGTGCCAAGTCCTGTTGGAAAATGAAATCTGCATCTCCAAAAAGTTGGTCAGCTGCAGGAAGCATGAAGTGCTCTAAAACTTCCTGGTATGTGGCTGCGTTGACCCTGGACCTCAGAAAACACAATGGACCAACACCAGCAGATGACATGGCACCCCAAACCATCACTGACTGTGGAAACTTTACACTGGACTTCAAGCAACGTGGATGAAGTGCCTCTCTTCTTTTCCTCCAGACTCTGGGACCTTGATTTCCAAAGGAAATGCAAAATTTACTTTCATCAGAGAACATGACTTTGGACCACTCACCAGCAGTCCAGTCCTGTTTCTCTTTAGCCCAGGCAAGACGCTTCTGACGCTGTCTGTGGTTCAAGAGTGGCTTGACACAAGGAATGCGACAGCAGAAACCCATGTCTTTCATACGTCTGTGTGTGGTGGTTCTTGAAGCACTCACTCCAGCTGCAGTCCACTCTTTGTGAATCTCCCCCACATTTTTGAAGGGGTTTTGTTTCACAATCCTCTCCAGGGTGCGGTTATCTCTCTTGCTTGTACACTTTTTTCGACCACATCTTTTCCTTCCCTTCGCCTCTCTATTAATGTGCTTGGACACTGAGCTCTGTGAACAGCCAGCCTCTTTAGCGATGACCTTTTGTGTCTTGCCCTCCTTGTGCAAGGTGTCGATGGTCGTCTTTTGGACAACTGTCAAGTCAGCAGTCTTCCCCATGATTGTGTAGCCTATAGAACTAGACTGAAAGACCATTTAAAGGCTTTTGCAGGTGGTTTGAGTTAATTAGCTGATTAGAGTGTGGCACCAGGGGCCATCAATTTTGAACCTTTTCACAATATTCTAATTTTCTGATATGATGAATTTGAGATTTTCATTTGTTGTCATTTGTAATCATCAAAATTAAACAAAATAAACATCTGAAATATATGAGTTTGTATGTAATGTATGAATATAATATACAAGTTTCACTTTTTAAATGGAATTACTGAAATCAATCTACTTTTTCATGATATTCTAATTTTATGACCAGCACCTGTATTAACCAATATGATGTGTTGAACTAGATCTGCTATTTTCACAACTTTTGTAAAAGACTTTTAACATAAATTAGGGCATTTATTACAGCTTGATTTCAAAGGCTAACAAGGTCAGCCGCGTCAGGTTAGAATCAGTCAGATAAGTGACGTGTTCTGCTTTTGTAATTTAGTAATCCATGAAACATGTCAAGTCTCTGTGGGAGATCGTCATCTTCCAGAGATAGAAAAACCTAGAAGCAGTGGATCAGGAGTACTTTCTATGTAAAAAAAAAAAAAAAATTATGATTTAATGGTGGAATTAGTTCATTAAGCGGCTACTTCTGGGTGAGAAAGGAGGCTGAATATATTGGCTCTGAGCAAGAAGCATGAAGCAAACCTCTTGCTTAGCTGATAACCCCTTCCAAAAACCTGATTATATTGAAATGTAAACATTTATTTAAAAAAAAGAACATTTACTGTTGTGTTTTTAACTATTCATAATAATGTACATGTGTTAGAATTGTATATCATTATAAAAACAAACATAAACCTTTTCAGAGAGCTGAGAGCACAACATGAACAGCTATCTGAGAGGAAGAGATTCAGTTTTTCTCATTTTCTTTTTATGAAGCTCTGAGCGTTAAACTCGAATTAGCTAGTTTAATTAATAAATATGAATATTGCAGCTTAGTAAAAATACTGCCTATTCAGAGAAAAGTTTGCCGTTTGAGTGAAAAGGCAGAGACTGATTCTGTTAAACTGTTTTTGCGTGTTAAAAGCTCATTGCAGCTACAACGAAGATCTGCAAGCTTTTTTAATTTACACTAAAAATTATTTTGTAGGCTGCAGGTATTTGAGCTGGGGGGCTTTTTCCACTAATCTGAGCATGTTAAAGAAATATCACATAAACTGAAATGAAGTCGAACCACACATTCAAAAAAAGCAAACGGACAATAATCACAGCTTGTCAAATGTTAAATCCCTTTCAAGAAAAAGTAATGAGCGCCTGTTCTGTCATCCCTCATCTCTTTCAGACTCTCCTCTTGCCAGTGTGAAGATGCATCTGCAAAGCTCAGTAAAGCGGAAGTTGGCAGAGGAGAAAGGCTATGTGTTTGACAAGCGGCTCAGGTACAATGTCCGACAGAACGAGAGCAACTGTCGATTCAGAGACATTGTGGTCAGGAAGGAGGAGAGCTTTACGCATGTCCTGCTCTCCAGCCAAACCACAGACAACAACGCTCTAACACCAGAGGTGAGAGAGAACCTGCTAATACCTTCTTCCTTTTAATTTGCCCATTCATTTTTGTATCTTTGTTTGAAGCTTGAAATGTGGAAAAAAGGTTGAAAAGTTCCAGGGGGGCGAATACTTTCTCAAAGCAATAAGTGTATCAATATAAGTATATAAATTACTGCTAGTGGCACTTAGTCACTAGTGTCTATTGATGATGTGATAGGACAGAAGCAGCTGGATGAATTCTGAGGTAGAGGGAGACATTCTGTGTGCTCCAATCCAGCCAAATGCAGCCAAACTGATTGGTCAGCAATGCATAAAGCAAATGGAAATAGAAAGACCCAAAATATAAATCCAAAGAAACCCAGGAGTTTATTCAAAAGAAGAAATGGGAGCATTGAATGGCCAAGTCACTCGCCCAATATTAACCCAAATGAGCATCCATTTGGCTTGTTGAAGACAAAACTTCATACAGAAAGACCCACAAACAAACAGCACATTCAAACCGCTGTAGCAAAACAGAGCATTTAGAAAAGAGGAAACGCAGCATCTGATGATGTCTGTAAGCTCAAGAATTAAGGCAAAAAAAGGAGTTTTAACCAAGTTTTTACAAAGTAAAATTTTATTTACAAAAACTTTAATTTTTTGAATTACTTTTGAGCTCTTAAAATATTTTTTTGTGTGTCTTTAAAAAAATGAAGTAGTATGTCACACTTTTATGCAATCCTTTTGTTCAACCTGCTGAATTAAAAGCTGATTATCTGCACTTTAAATGCATCTCAAGTTGAGTTTGGTCTTTATCTGAGTTTACTCCCCATTGGTGGCATTAAGTCTAACCTGTTCCAGGTGCAAGTTGGACTCTTGCAGGGATGCCCACTTTCAACAGTCATGTTCATAACCTTTATAGACAGGATTTCTTGGCAAAGCCAAGGGCAGGAGGGGGTCTGGTTTGGGGACCAGCGGATTTCTTCCCTGCTTTTTGCAGATGATGTGGTTCTGCTTGCTTCTTTCCGCCAAGACCTGCATGCACTGGGGTGGTTGGCACCACTGTTTTTGGGAAGAGAGCTTGGCCAGAAGGCAAAGCTCCCGATTTAAAAGTCAGTCAAAAATCCCTCCTGTTATTATGTCAATATGGACCAAACTCTTTCAAGAATTTTCCAGTACCTCTTTGCCCATACAAAAAGACAGCTGTGAAGGCAAAGGAACGTCCAACCCTGTACTAGCAAGATCTACAGATGCATTATTATTATTGTTAGGTCTAATAAATTGGCCAGTGAGTTTAAATACAGCTGATAATCTGTGGCAAAACTTAACAATTGTTGTTCAAAAACTATGTCTTAAGGGCTTTACTCCTCTTTTTGTCAGACATATGTGATGAAATTTGATCTCTAATTGCAGGAAAAAGTGACAACATTTTGACTTGTGTATGTACAGTTTTTAAGTTTTAATAATTTTGAAATTTGCATCCTTCTGCAACAGCTATTTGCTACTATGACTCTGTCTGATAAAATTCTGATAAACTACATTTAAGTTTGTGGTTTTCAAGATGAAATGGACAAGGGGTAGAAATTGTTATTGCAAGTCGCTATAATTGCTTTATATTAGCTTTTTAGGTGCCAGAATGAGAAGCAGTAGTCTTATGTGACATCTGCCTAGAGAGATGGTTTCAGCTGCATAAAGCTGCCATTAGCTTACTTCTGGAAAAATGACTTCTGCCTCCTGCCAAAGCCAACTTTTACAAGTGTCATAAGAGGGCTACAGGCCATTTAATCCAGTGTTCAGCCATCTGTTGTTACTGAGGCAAGAAGATACTTGAAAAAGTGAAACTATCGTGCTGCTGATTCAAAGAGGAAAAGAGCTCGTAATTGCCTTTTGAAAGAAGTGCAAACCCTAAAAAATGATGTCCGGTGTTTCCCTGATCTCTCTGTAGTACTTCCAGTGCTGCACAACATTAAAGCATTTTCAGGACAGATGTCACATTTGGACTACTATAATTACACACATACATTTTCCTTTTTCAGTACATTTTTATACACATATACATTCCTAGAATGCAGGAGAATCCTTTAAGGAATCAAAAAAGTTTTTTTGAAAATCACTTAAAACATGACACATACTAGCAGGGTCTCCCTACTTTTAGAAACACTTCTGATTAGGTCTAGTGTACCAGCTGTGCGCTCTCTACAGGCATTTAGGATGCAAAATCTGTGCCAAGCAGCGTTCAATGGCATTTTTAATAGTCTTCACAATCACCTGCTGATGCCTTATCAGTTAAATTCCCTTCCCAAGTTATTATGGAGTGGCAAATTAAACAGTACAACCTTTGTGCACAGCTTGCTCCCTGATTTGATGTAGCATTAACTAAGAAATAATTCTTAAAATAGTGTTTAGAACATGCTCTGAGTTAAATTCTCTTGACGAAAAAGCATTCATCCCTGCAAAACGAATTGTCAAGGAAGGTTACAGTATAGAAATGATTGGCAACATGTGAAGAGTTGAATTTCAGGTAATTACTCTTCCCAGCTGCTTCAACCTTTGTAAACTAGCTGCCTGCAGGATTCCACCAATATAAGATTGGATGCTTATTTCCACTCAGCAACAAGCTGCTCCTCATTTCCAGTGGATTGATGCATGCAAATAGTTTTTCCTGATGCATGCTAGAATTTCTTTTTGTATTTTTAGGTTTTGATTTTGGGGAGCAAATAGTCACTGTATCAAACAGCAGGAACGTTTAAAACTTAATCCTTTCTTCTTTCTATTCAGTTTCATTTCTAACATTGCAATAATGTCTGTTACAAATTCTGTGAGCTCAGGATTGTCCGGATATGATAGGGTGAGGCAAATTCATCCACCTCCATCTCATAACTAAGCTAACAGGATTTTCTGCTACTCACATGTTACACTGAGCCTCCTGTTCCTGCTTTTGATACATCATTGAGGGTAATACAGATTGTACCTCACAGGCACTCAATTGTGTGACAGTAAGCCTGTAAGATTTAGGCTTATCAAGCAGCCCTGATACATCCTTCTATGCCTCTAGGTCTTTGAAGTAGCAGAAACAAGACTGCCTATAAATGTGCTTGCTGAATTGCTGCAGCAAAAAAAAATTCAAAAAATATAATAAATATAAGTAAAAAAAATTTCAAGCACTTCTTAATGGAAAAAAAATATATTTCTAAAACCTTGAATACAACTTTTCTTTACAGTATGACAGTTTACTTACTATAATCTTCAAAACACAACTACAGCTACCGTGTTCCACACCAAGTATTCAACAGAACTAAGCTTTTTGGCTCCATTTTCTGGGAAATCGTCTTTTTAAAGAGATCTGACTGACAATCTCGCTTTTATCTTTGAAATATCTTGCGAATCATATTTCTATATGTGGATTTTCTCTTGCATCTACATAAAGCTCTAAATTTGTTGTGAATATTTATTTTAAACTTTAGATACATGTTTTTTTGTGTGTGTGTTAAATGGCATTAATACTAGTATTTTTTTATCTTTTTCAGTAACATCTGCTGTTTTAAGTCTTGTATCTCAAATAGTTTTTTTAAAGTCTTATTTTGTGGTAAAGGTGTAGTATTAATGGTTCATTATTTATCATTGCGGCTATTATTATGACTATTATTATTAGTGTTATTATGATTATAATTATTAAATTCTCATTTGATGATGAATTTCAAAAAGGTACTTAGTGTGGAGACTGTAGTGACATTATTACAAGATGTTTTTATATGCAATAAAGCATAAAACCAGGTCATATGGTATGACTTCAGGTTAATTAGCACTGATTTGTGAACATGAAAAGAAATCTGTGCTATTATCTTAGAACTTCAGAATGAGTTTTCTTTTTATTTAGTTCGTGCTATTTTACCCAATGGATTGTAGAGATATCAGAATATTTGTGCATTGCAGGTGCGGAGCCATCCCACCAGGTTATATGTTGTTTACATGTTGATGTAATTTACCACCTCTGGAACTAGTAGTTCCCCTCTAAAACAGAAGGTGCAGCGGGGATACTCTTAAGTGATATGTCTTAAAGAGATAAGCATTATATGGGGAGTCCATATAATGAATATATTTCTTTTGCTTTTTAAGTGTCGCTTTCACTTGCAATAACCAGATATTGCTAGAATTTACAGATATCTCCTGGATAGGATGATAACGGGTCAGCATTGTGCAGCTGGAGTGCAATGACATCCACCTGTGACCAGAGATCCTGATTTGTGCCAGACTGTACTTGCTGCCTTTTTATCTTTTGCCCGGTGTCTCATAAAGTAGAAGTATGTTTTGCATATAACTAGATCACATTCTAAGAAGTCAAAGTCATTATTTAAAGCTACAATGTGTAATTTTCTGTGACATCTAAAGGTGAGACTGCAGCAACATGAACCACTATCCCAACTGCTTCTCCCTCTCTAGCAATACATAACTGGCTGTCAATCTAAATACAAACTAGTGTCCAGCATCATTACCCACATTTGCAGGATGCTCTTAATATTAAACAGTAATGGTGAAATATTGACATAATTATTAATAAATAAAATATTACGATACTAGAAAGACACACATAGTGACAATACAAAGCAAGTCAATTTAGTGCAGGGGTGCTCAAGTTCAGTCCTCAAGAGCTACTATCCTGCAACTATATGATGTAACCGTTTTTAACACACCTGAATCAAATAAGTGGCTCGTTACCACGCCTCTGCTGAGCTAAAGGAGGGGATTTAGGCTTTAGATTCAGGTGTGCTAGAGAAGAGATTCATCTAAAAGTTACAGGATGGTAGCTCTTGAGGACTGGACTTGAGCACCCCTGATTTAGTGCTAAACATAAAGTGTATTGCTAAAGCTAATTATCAAATTCAATTATTAAAGTTAAAAAAATGTTGTGATTTGCAAAATACTGATATTTATTTTCCTATGAGATCTATGTGATCAGTGTAGATTGACCTTGAGATTTTCCCAAAAACTTTTTAAAAAATCCTCTAGACTTTGTTTCCAATTTTGAAGACGTTTCACTTTCCATCTAGGAAGCTTTTTCAAATCAAAATATCAGAAATAGCGTCAGGTTCAAGGCTTTATAGAGTGGAGCAAAGCAAAGCCTTGTTTTGGCTTAGTAACATGCAAATTGAACCTGAGGAACAGGTCTGCCCCTTTAGAATAGGGGTCATTTTGTTTGGGAAACATCTTCAAACTTGGAGACAAAGTCCAGTGGATTGTTTTTTTATTTTTTTGTGACTCTTTTTTGGAATTACTTTGATCTGGATGACTTAGAATCTTCACCAGCAGACCCTGATATGGTTTTAGCATCAGTTCTTTTCTGTGATTTAATTTCTTGTAAATTAACATACAAGACATCCATTGAAAATAACCTTGAAGGCCTGATCTTTAAAATGATTTTGGTGTATTAAAATGCCCAAACATTTTTGCACCTGCGATGCAGATCTTCATATAAGGAGCAAAGTGATTCGTGTGCAATATAGCAGGGAGCAGCTGCAAACCTTCTGTGTGTATCATTGGTTTTATATAGATCCAGATCATATCCTATAACCAAACCAAGTAATTATCATCAAATTTACAAATGAAATAGGAAGTTATCACAGGTTTTGCCGTTCTTAAAACCATATTTAGCACATTTTAAATTCCAATCATTGTGGCCACAAAATAGAAATAAGTACAGTGACAGGCAATAGGGAGAGAGTTTGCATGCATGCAAGCATATTTGAACTGTCAGTGGGGGAAAAGACATCCGCTCAGGCCATCTCAGAGTAATTCAGCAAGGCAGCAGACAGTCTTTATACAATTAAAACAAAATTAAAGGGCAAGATTGGACTTGAATAAAAGTTAAACTAAATATTAACAACTAATGCAGAACATTTTTCTGTAACCCTTGATTTACCAGTTCATGCCCTTGCTTTGTCCATCTCTGCAGTCTTATACTTAGGCAAGGTACTTCACCTGCCTTTCCTACTGTTGGTGGTCAGAGGGCCCAGTAGCGCCTATCGCAGGGCCACCTCACCTCTTGTCACCTCTTGTCTGCCCAACGGAAGTGGTCTCTACTATGACAAGTGGAGGCTGCCAGTTCAATGGTCACCCAGCACAGGAGAGGAGACAATCGACCTAACCCGACCAGCCAGACTGAATTACACTCCGTGTAAACCTTCTTAGACTTGGAGACAGGACTTTACAGTGCATTACTCCCTGGGCAAGAATTACCCATAATGTAGCAGTGCTTTTCTGCTAGCATAGCAAAAGGCTTGTGACCACAAAGGACCAATGTTGCAATGAAAATTAAGAATGTACCAGAAAGCAGAGCTTTTATCCTCAGATTTGAATGCCAAATGACAGAAATCGTTCACTGGAGTTTCTCCCATTCATCCATCCATTTTCCATCGCGCTTATCTCAAGCGGGTTCACGAGGGCTGCTGGTGCCAGCTGTCTACGGGCGAAAGGTGGGGTAGACCCTGGACAGGCCACCAGTCCATCACAGAGACAAACAACCATTCACACAAACACTCAAACCTAAGGAGAATTTAGAGAAGCCACTTAACCTAACAGACATGTTTTTTGGACTGTGGGAGGAAACTGGTGTACCCAGAGAGAACCCACGCATACACAGGGAGAACATGCAAACACATGCAGAAAGACCCCAGGCCAGGAATGGAACCCGCAACCTTCATGCTGCAAAGCAGCAGTGCTACCCAGTACACCACTGAGCAGCCCCACTGGAGTCTCTTGGACGGCTTAAAATGTTTCACAGACAACAGAGAGTTGCTTGGTGGTACAGTGCTACAGTCAACCCTCATTTAACCCCCGTAGTGTATGAAACCTCAAAGGTTTACCAAGGCTGCTAAGCTAAAATTGGCATGGACAAAGTGTTGAGGTTGTAGAAAAGACTTCGAGTGACGGCGATATCGAGGCAATGTACCTCAAAATTGTGTGTCAAATTATGAACGTGTCTCACTTCAAACTAATATAGTGACATCAGGCTTATTGCATTTTCAGTCACTAGAATGGTGACAATCTCACCATGGATGTTTCTTTTATTCTGTTTCACTGTTAAACTGGATACATACACTGCAACAAAATCTCATTACGGAACTGCTGTAGAGCCATTGGGGCTAAATTCTTGGTACCGGTAAGTCTTAATTCGAGTCCTTAAGCCATAGGAAGTCTTTCAAATCTTTTATATTTTATCTATTCACTCTGAAAACCTCTTCAGTTGCTTTGGCTGTGGTTGTTGCCAATATGACTACTTGCTGCATCTCCCATTGTGGTCTTAAAAGCTCACTGGTGGGGGATCTTATTTCCCGGTCGTTATGCCGTTTTCTTAGGAAAGTAGCATATTTATCAGATTTTCTGGTGTTCTGCACTTCCTAACGTCAGCTTAAAGTGATTTTTAGTTTGCCAAGTTCTTTCAGTAAAAGAGCTGAAAATAGATATTTTAATTTGAGTGTGATAAAATGCAGAATAAAGTGGATGATTTCATGGACATAATCATCCCAGAGTCTTCACTTCCAGAAAGCTGCTGTTCAAAGTTGCTGTGTCGATGCCATATTTGTTTGTTTCCAACCCCCCTCAAGATGTCTCCTGGCTGCACTTGAATGTCACTTCGACAGCCCTATTCTGTCTTTCACACAGAGCTGATCCAGCATCTGTTCATCTTTGCTTCGTTATCGTGAGCAGGATTTCAATCTGTCTCAATAAAATGTCATCATTTGTTATAAAACACAGGAACACAGATGTTTTTCTGTCAGTGCAGAAAACATTACTTGTAATCAGATTAATTTCCTCAAAACTTGTATTAATGCTGAACATAAAGCTGTTGTTTAACCTGAACTGTTTAAAAAATCAACATCTGCAATTGTCATGTCTCTTTGTGTCCATAAAGACACAGATCTTTGTAATGTCTGTAAACCAGCTTATATCCCTAAAAATTTGAAAGTGTAAGTTCAGACCGAGGTCACAGTAAGTCAAATAGGACAGATTATATGCTTGATGAGACATGGAGAATTAAGTTCACTTTAAGGTTGGATGATTGATATAGGTCAAGGGTGATAATCTGATTAAAACCTAGTGTGTGATGATTGTCTGTTGATTGTGATGTGGGTGGAGGGTGCAGTTTAAAGTCCACTCTGGTCTTCATTACATGATCCAACAACCAAACATGTTAAACCAATACTTCTGTTTTTGTTTGAAATGATAAATAGTTGTTAACTCAAACTAACAAGAATATTTTTTTAACAATGTGAATATTTTTGTGTTTGTGTGAGGATGTTTGCCAATGCTACACTACAGAATAAATAAATGATATTGCTGATATGGTCAAGTCAGCCGCTTCTAGCAGCGAGGCGCTTAAAAGATAAGATGCTGAGCAAGTTGGTCTGTTAATATTTTATTTTTTTTGTAAATATTTTATCAATTTCTGCCCAGACTGTGATAAAATTCAAATCTTAGTCATGTCCTCACAAGTCAAACAGCATAGACAAATGTACCAAAACCCCCTCAACTGTTTAGATTAAGTGAAATTTAAATTAAATATGTGCTTGTAGATTAAAGCAAAAACTGCATTCAGACCCTAAAATGTAGACCTCTAATTTCATCACAGTTAAAATTGCTTAAGTAAATGGGACAAAATTATGCTGATGTTATTAATATCCAATATCCAATATATTTTTGTCCTTCACCTTAATGCTTTGTGTAACTCCAGTGGAAAGCAAAGTGTTTATAGCTATGCAGTTGTGGCATATTCTTTTCATTTTTTGGACGATATATTGAATGCTGCTTCATCAGATGCCCAAAGCTTGGGATGTTTTATCATAACAAAGGCAGTAAAAAAAATGTGAAGGAAAAATCAAAATAATGTTCAATATTATTTGTATCTTTTTAAATAAAATCCTAATAAATGAAGCTTTTATTTTTGGTTCTTGGAATATAAAACCTAAAAAATAAAAGTACAGTTTTTATGAATCCTCTTGAAAGGTGCTGTAGGTTTTCCTGTTTCCCACTGAATCAAGTGGAAGCGATGCATCATTTTATTCCTAAGGGAATACAGCGAGCTGACTGGACATGATGACTAATAACGTTGAGGCAATGCAAACTGGTTAGAAATATTTTCCTACTTACAGCAGCACTGTGGAACATCAACAGGCAACTTATCAATGTAACTTTTATTGGAGCTGTGGCAAATCTTAAGCTTCAGTCTTTGTCCTGCATAGATAGGTAACCACTGCTAGGACAACACACCTTTGATCTGATTGGGTTTAGGGGAAAATACTATCACCATTAGATGTAAGATTTCGCTTTGTGATTACCTCTTGTTCACACCAGGAATACTAATTTTAATAAACCTAAATGACGTTGGCACTTGGCTGGTAACAGCCTGTAATGTTTATAGACCGTCAATGATGTAACCTTAAAACTGGATGCCTCATTTGTTTGGTTTCTTGCTGGTGATAAATGTTGACCACTAGTATAACAATGCTTTACTAACTGCTGGCGAAAATTCAAATCTATCCATCTTTCTCTGCAGATCATGAAGGAAGTCTGTAGAGCTTTGGGGAATGCAGCTGCTGATGACAGTAAGCTGTTACTCCTCAGCTCTGTGGGCACGATCTTCTGTAGCGGCCTGGAGCCCTCATACCTCATAGGGCGTTTGTCCACTGACCGCAGGAAGGAGAGCAGCCGAATTGCAGAATCTGTACGGTAAGATGGATTATCTATATTGTTGGACATGCAGCAATTCTGAAGTTTCCAAAAACCACTGGACTTTGTGTTCAAAGTTGGGAGACATTTCGTTTCAATCCAGGAAACTTTTTCTATTCAAAATCTCTGGATTAGCGTTGAGTACCAGGTGTATAGAGTGGCCCAAAACAAAACCTTGTTTTGGTTTAAAAAACATGCAAAGTGAACCGAAAAAAACAGGCCCGCCCCTTAGTAATGGGGAGTGGTTGAGGTCTTTTTTAGCCTGCAATACACGATACTCGCCCATGTCCTTGAAAAGGGAGTCGTTAGGGTCATTGCTGACCAGGTGAGGTGTTTTGATCCCCTGTATTGTGATGAGGATCGAGATGATAGCAGGAAGCAATCAACTCTATTGCTGCCTTGTAGTTTTTTTGAGAGCTGGAACCTGAAACCACTCCCTCTGTTTAATGTTTTTTTAAATGGCTTCCTTCACACCCCTTTGAAACCACTTGTCTTTTTTGTCCAAAATGTGAACTTTCTGGTCCTCAAAAGAATGTTGTTTGTCTTAAGGACAAGGCCTCTATCTTAAAAAAGAAAGCAGGAAACTCAACGGTACTCCAGACATTTTGAAATGAGCAAGCTTCCTAGATGGGAAACTACCGTATTTTCACGACCATAAGGCGCACCGTACTAAAAGGCGCAGTCTCAGTTATGTGTGCCATTTCTGTATTTAACACACACATAAGGCGCACCGGACTATAGGGCGCATTTTTTATATACCGGTACATGTCCTCTACTACCTTTAAATACCTCTACTGCTAATTTAAAAATACAGCGGGAGCAAAACTGAGTATGACTGTGCTTTATTCATGTATTTATTACAAAGTATTAATCAAACCTGGGAGCTGGCCGTGAGACAGACACATCGCAGATGACAGAGCACTGTGATCACTTCTAAATTAAATTAAACTCCTGAAGCCTGCCGACAGAATATGTTTGCTTTTATTGCCGGTATCCTGGTGCCTGCAGTTTAAATTATTTAGATGAAAAACACCTGCCAGCCACCGCGGTGAACCCGGAGGCTACCCGGCCTAGAGGCTGCTGTTGAAGGGAATTCTACTGTCGGCGCACCGCTGGTATGTGGGGGTCTGAGCGCCTCCGACAGAAATAGTATAGGCAGGATAATAATCTGGATGAACTGACTGCAATTATTAAGTTTTCAGGTGGACTTTCTCACTTAAAAACATATTAAAACTACTTTATTCCCACTGATCACAGCAAATATAGCTGCAAGATTTAGATTATTTAGATGAAAAACACCTGCCAGCCACTGCGGTGAAGAGGAGGAGACCCGGCCCAGAGGCTGCTGTTGAATTAAGTTTTCAGGTAGAAAAATAGAGCGGGAGCAAAACTGAGTATGATTGTGCTTTATTCATATATTTATTACAAAGTATTAATCAACCCCATCAAAGTCATCATCCTCTGTTTCTGAATTAAACAGCTGCACTAAATCAGACATGCCAATTTCCCCTTCTTCGCTGTCAGAGTCACTTTCCGTGCAGCGCGGCTCCTAATGCCTGCTTTTGCGAAAGCTTGAACAACAGAGCCAGCAGACACGTTAGTCCAAGCATCAACAATCCATCCGCAAACGGTGGCGTAACTTGCCCGGCGCTGCCTTCCACTTATCGTGAAACTGTGGTCTCAGTCTGTCATCCATCGCTCCCACGCCGCTCGCAGCCTTACTTTGAACGGCCGCTTCACACTGATGTCGAGCGGTTGAAGTTCCTTTGTCAGACCCCCCGGGATAACGGCGAGCACAGCGTTCATTTGATTCACCTTTTTTTTCACATCGGCTGTGAGATGGGCACGCAGTCACAGATTAACAGCGATGGTGATGCGTGGAAGAAAAACACCTGGTCTCCTCACATACACCTCCCTCAGCCACGCTTTCATCATCTCCTCATCCATCCAGCCTTTTTCATTTGCCTTAATATCATATGTCATCAGAGCGCTGTGTCTGTCTCGCTGTCAGCTCCCAGATCAGCTTCTCTGATTGGTTGATGCGGCGCGTCCAGCAGCAAAACTTCAATTTTTCCATCTCGAGCAGCAGCAGCGCGTTGGCAGATGCTTAAACGCTCCCGACGCAGCGCCTGCTGCTCAAAACGCGCTGCGGGACCTTTTGCTGCACCTATACGCGTGTCAACCATTGACTTTGCATGTAAACACGCTGCTTCTGCTGCACCTGCTGGGTCCGGTTCACACCGATGTCGAGCGGTTGAATAACAGCGAGCACAGCGTTAATTTGTTTCACCATGTTTTTCACATCAGCTGTGAGATGGGCCCGCATGGAGTCACAGATTAATGGTGATGAGTGGGAAAAAAACACCTGGTCTCCTTACATTCAGCCACTCTTTCATCATCTCCTCAATGAGGTGGTCTCAAAAGTCGCAGTTACAACACACATAGGGCGCACCGCACCAAAGGGCGCACCGCACATTTTGAGGGGAAAAAAAGACGTTTAAGTGCGCCTTATAGTCGTGAAAATACGGTAAACGTCTTGAAACTTGGAAAACAAAGTCCAGTGGGTTGTTTTTGAACTATTTTGGAACGACTATGACCTGGATGACTGAGAATCTTCACCAGCAGTAATTCTGAACATAATTTCCACTCATCTCCCTGGTACAACTTTAGAGACTTTGTGTTGGCATTTATCCACTTCAAGAAACCTATTGTTGTGGCAATAAATGGACCTGCTTTGGGATTGGGGGCATCCATTCTGCCTCTCTGTGATGTGGTGTGGGCGAGCGAGAGAGCATGGTTTCAAACACCATGTGCAGCCCTCCACCTCACCCCATCTGGATGCTCCTCTTACACCTACCCACAGATTCTGGGTGTAGCTTTGGTGGGTCTAAACTTTTATTAAATCTCTTATCTAAATAAATCACATGAATAGCTCATTTTCATTACAAACTAATGTAAAGATCACATGACACACCTCCTGTAACCACAGGCCAATGAGATGCTGTTTTGTGGAAGGAAACTTACAGCACAGGAAGCATGCAGTCGGGGTCTGGTTTCACAGGTCTTCTGGCCAACCACATTTAACCAAGAGGTGATGCTGCGCGTGAAGGAAATGGCATCATGCAATGCAGTGGTAGGTCCTGATCTATAGAACATTTTGGGCTAATTTGTTTGTGACTTATAAACACGATTAACAAATCACTGCTTTGCCTTTTTCCCCAAATAAGGTTCTAGAAGAATCTAAATGCTTGATGAGGAGCATCCTCATCCCAGTCCTGGAGGAAGTGAACGAGAAAGAGTGTCAGATGCTAAAGCAGCTGTGGTGTTCAACCAAAGGACTGGAGGCACTCTTCAGTTACGTGCACAATAAAACCAGCGAAAAGTAACCCTCCAGAGTCAGAGGGAAGATACGGCCTCTGCTGTTCTGATGCGTCCTGGATAGGGACATCCAAGATGAAAATGCTGTGACTTCTTTACTCTGAGGCTTTGGCTCCATTCATCAGAGAAAACGTTCTGGACGTGTGTCTACTTGTGTCTCGAGAAACAAAAATAAAAACTTAACATCATTTTTTTTTTTTTGTATCAGAGCTTTTTATTGGACCCACTGTGTAATAATTTCTATGTTCTTTTAGCAGCAGGGGGCAGCTGTGCATCATTTAAAACAGAGATTATCTCACTTAATGTAACAAAGGAGTAATGCATATTGTTAATATATTCATATATTTATTTCAGATTTTTTAATGTATGTATAAGAGATTTTTGTGATTTGTTTTATTTAGTTAACGGGTGTGTTCTGTTTGGTTCTTGGCATGCACTTTAATATTATCCTCCATATATGAACTGAAAACAGCAGCTTTAGTAAAAAAAATGTTGGTGGTTGTTCAAGATGAAAGCTCAAGATTTGCCACAATTTAGCAGAAAATGACCTCAGTGTGTCAAGAGAACATGGAACAACAAGTATATTAATATTTAGGGCATACCTCCTCAAATCATTCATATCCCTAAGAGATTTAGATGTGAAAGTATTTTCATTTGACCAATGAATGTTTTCTTGCTGGTTAATTGGGCATCTATGTAAGATTATAAAAAAAGTACTTTGTTTTTAAGAGAATAAAATGATTACATTTAAGCCTCAATGTCCCTTAGTGGGGACTTCTGAGATGTAGAGGCAGTAAATTAGCACAGGAAAACTAGGAACATGAAGATGCAACCAAAGGTTTTTAATTACATTTTAATGAAAATGAAATGGGCATACCATTATACACAAATGTGTTTGGTCCTTTTTAATCAGCTACCAAAAAAATCTTCAAAGGAATTGAGCATTTGGTGGTGGCCTTGTGGTTAGAGTGGTACGCTTGTGTTCTGAGAAGGTTGCAAGTACCTGGTTCAATGCCCACAGCCTCCTCTCTGGGTCCATGAGCAAGACCCTTAACCCCTGATTGCTGCACCGTGGCAGCCCACTGCTCTCCAAGGGGATGAGTTAAGATGCAGAAGTGAATTTCTCTGTTGTGAGATCAATGATATTTATTATTATTCTTTAAATCCCTCTCTTAACCAGTTAACAGCTTGTTTATGCTCATATTTGGACTTCTTTTAATATGCTTCCAGTTTTTAAGGTTTCCTTCCTTCCTATCACCCTTAGCCTTTTCTCCCTCCACAGGTTTCCTCAAAGTTTACTTATGATTGATAATTCAGTCATCATTTAAGACCGTTGGTGTGTGATGCATTGTTTTTTTGGAAGATGTGAATTGGATGATTATGATCCTTGATTGTATATACTCAGTACTTGTACATTTTTAAGTAATAAGGAAGGAAAAGCAAAACACTTTGTCATAAAAAGTCAATTAAAGTGTCAAAATGTGTGAGACTTGAGCCAGCCTGGTCCTGATCTGCATGTATTATTGAGTATTTTTTTGAATAGGATATTTTGCAGAGTGTATTCTATTAAATGATCTATTTTGTTTTTGCAAAGTCTACATAGGTGTAGGTCTGTGTAAACTGTTTAGGAAGAGATGTAAATAATTATACAGTGAAGATTTACTTGCATGTAATATATGGTATTGTACTTCAGGGTATGTTTTTGTAGCATTGTAATTATTTTTCTATTTATTTTAGATAGCATTGAAGGTAAAGTGTCATGTGGCTTCTCTTTGCTTACAGTAGCACTGCAACACTTTTCATCAATCGTAATCTAAATTAGATTCCATAGTTTTACTGCGAATAAATTAAGAATAAAGCTGATTTTAGATAATATATTAATTTAAGATAAATTAGAAGCATGTCCAATGTTTATCTTTTGTGTTTTATGGCATTTATGGATAAGAACAAGTAGATAACATGGGATTTGATGGATTTTTCAAGTTGAGACTGTGTTATTTTGTGGTTATGGATTGACTGGAGTGATAAAAAATTTCACAAAGTTTTTTTTTTTTTTTATTATTTTACAAGTAAAGATAAATTTAACAGATGTTATATCTTGAATATTATCATTTTAAGCCAAATGAGAAATAATTCTGATTAGATACATTTTGACAGATTTTGTTTTAAAAATTTTAATCATTTTAGAGTCAGTAGATGTTCCTGCATTTTCTATGAGTATAAATAGCAGATAACAGCCTTGAGATTAAGCAAGCAGGACCCTCATGCTGTGACTGCTTTGAAGTGTAAGTGAATGTTAATATGTTCTGGTGACTTGCACCCACGCATATTCTTTAAAATGGGGTTTTTATCTATTTATTTCTCTATCATGTTTTTTTTTATGTATCTAAAGGTGTCCAATTAGATACATGATCTGTTTTTTTAAATAAAACTAAAGATCTTAATTTTTTTTGTCATGTGCTTTTAATGCTTGGACATTCTGGTGTTTCAGATAATTTAGAACTAATTGATCATTAATGGAAAAAGGCATAAAATCGCTTTTTTTAAACACATTCCTTCCATATAAATGGAAGAATTGCCCTGCCTATCAGAGACAAAATAAGCTAGAACGGTTTATGACCCTTTTATGGAATATTTGGATCTTGAGGGGACAGTGGCGTTGGATGTAGGAGTTTGCCCTGAAATCGAAGGGTTGACGGTTCAAGGGTTCAAGCCCCGACTCTGACTTTCAGTGTCGTTGTGTCCTTGGGCAAGACACTTCACCTGCATTGTCTACTGATGGTGGTCAGAGGGTCCGGTGGCGCCAGTGTACGGCAGCCCTACTTCTGTCAGTGAGCCCCAGGGCAGCTGTGGCTACAATGTAGCTTGCCACCATCAGTGTGTGAATTAATGTAGTGTAAAGCCCTTTGGTCAAGTCTCCTAACTTGAATAAAGGCCCTATATAAGTACATGTCATTTACCATCTAAACTTTCTGAAAACCAGATTAGGCAGCTTTATTCAGCTCATAAAAATACATGATGTGGTTTATTTTTAATCAGGTTAGAAATAATCAGAAAAAATACACTTTAGATTAAAAAAAAATATTTGCTGGGAAAAGATTACTTTTAATTTATCAAATTAGTAAGTAATAAGTTTGGACACAAAGTTTACTACAAATGCTGTAACGCCTCTGTCATTCTCCTAGTTAATTATTCATGTACAAAACTGCTAAATATTTGACCTCTACTTTAGTGAAGCCACTCCAACTATAGAGATGGGCAACTCGTTTTGTTTTTACTGCAAACCATAGCCTCAGGACTATGGAAGCCCCACAGGAAAGACTTGAATAGTCTAGTCCTGAATCAAATCTATTTGTTTTAAATGATGTTAAAAGGTTAGTGCCCATATGACCTTTTTTTTTTTTTTTATCTTGCCCCTGATAAATGGAAGAAATGAATATTTACATCTTCTGAACAATATCCCAAACTCAAGGCAAGATTTAGAACAGTTTTGTAAATTGTTTGTTTTTATGCCTGTTTATTCCAGCCCAATGTATCAATGATTTAAAAAAGTTCTAAGAATCAAACACTGATTTGTTGAATGTGGGCAATGTTTTGTTTTTGTAAGTTTTTAAATATATTTTTTTAGGTTAGAAGGTTAATTTTAATCTAAATTTACTAGATAAACAAAACAAAATCTAACTGAAAGAGATTTCATGCAAATTTGAGTTATTTTGCTTTTTCACTTTTTATTTAAAAAAGATTAATTCCAACTACATATTTTAGCAATAAATATGTTTCCCAAAATGGAGCAGACAGTGATTGCTGCAAAAAAAGTACCAGCACTGAAACCATGAAGGAAATTTGAACGGTGAAAATAAAAGAGGTTTTGAAAATGTTGATAATCTAAAAAGCTCTTTTTTTTCTTTTTTATTAACCAATAAGAATGTTTTGTAACACTGCATCCCTCAGAGCAGCTCCCAATATGTGCAAAAACTAAAAGGATAGGAACACAATTTTACATCAGAGGATGCCGCAATCATCCATCAGTGATATAAACACTACAGCTTTACAAAAAAATAATAAATCAGTCACAACTGTTCCTCTGTGATGACAGAAAGGCAGTCATGGGACTCTTGTTTTTAGTTTAATGTCCAGTTTTATGCTCCAGTGCGTTTTGCTTCCTTTAAAGCTGCTCCTTGGGTCCTTCCTTTATCCTCTTTCTCATTTCTTCTGCATGTTTCTTACTGCGCTCCCGTTTTTCAAGTCTCTATGAAATGGACAGAGGAAGAAAGCGACCAACAAAATGAAGTAAATACTTAAATAGTTTTGACACACTGGTTCATAATTAGCAAAAAAACAAACTGACAAACCTCTTTCTTCAGACAATGACGCATGGCCCGGTCCATGTCATTACACGTGCCAAAAAACTTCATGACGTTGTGCTGATGGAGGCATGAAGGAGGTTACAAAGTTTAGTTTGCATGCAAGAATCACAGTGACAAAATGAGCTTGAGAGTCATTTACCTCTTTGTGGCACTGTCTCAGGAGGCTTATGAGTTCATTGCACTCATCTGTGTGCAGGTGGGGTGAAAGGTCAGGGTGCATTATGAGTTAAGGAGCCACAGCAGCTGTGCTGAAACCAACAAACGAGAGTAGCACTAATGGTAAGAACATACATCTGAACAACATTTGCATATGCCTACAAGACTTCCCTAGTAAACAGTCTTCAAAAGCATGGATGGGTGGATCTCCCTGTCACTGTTTTTGGTATTGCTTTAGGTACTGTGCTGTTAGAGGTTTTCTAAAGGATACTAGTGCCTCCCAATCCCTCTCCATCTTGACTGGTCATTGTGACGACTGATTTCCCTGTGGACACTTACCTGCAGAAACATAGAAGACGAGGATACAACACTATGTATATATATGTATAGATAAAGACAGTCATTAAACAGTAGTGAACTGTGGTCTTAGAGAGATCATCCTAGTTAACATGACCATTTACCTACTGAGCGACGCTTTCCTCCAAATCACATTTAACATGGCTGTGGAAGACTGTTAGCAGCAGTGCCAGACCTTCTATCATTAGTGGTCCATGTGCAACAGTATAAATTGGTCAATTTAAATTAAAAAATGCTTTATTAATCCGAAAGGGAAATTAAATATATCAGAAAGTTGAAGCAGTACTGGCATCACTGTTAACCCTAACCCATAACCTACTCATAGCCAGGTCAAACTGACTGCACTTAGTTAATTATGCAACTCTACTTCATGTTTCAGTTGCTGTAAAAAAAAATGAAATAAAACTGTATCCCATCCATAACGAATAAAAACAGGGTAATCAAGGACCTCATACAAACAAAATATCAGCATGTGCTGACACAGAAAAACATAAATCTAAAATGACCATGGTTGCATTAAAACTGAAGGAAGTTACAAGTAGGAAAAAAGTTAAACATTTAGAAAATAACTAAATGCACAGTAAATAAATTACACCATGCCTCTAAACTGGGGAGTGTTGGCCTAGTGGGTTAGAGCAGTTTGCTCGTGCTCTGAGAAGGTTGCAAATACCCGGTGTTCTGTCAGATGAGCATACCCATAGTCAATACCTGTTTATACCTTTAGTTTTGTACAAAAAATAAACTTTAAGCTACCTCAACGGGCGTGCATCCCTTTAGTCATGTACAAAAAAAAACATTTAAGTACCGGTACTTACTTTTTGAAGCATATGTCGATCTCACCTTAATTTTTTTTTTTTTTTTGTCGTTCATGACTAAAGGG